GATATTAAAACGGATCTTTTCCCTCTTTAGTAAGTAGATATCCGTTCCACCGCTACTGCATATGTATTACTCCTCTAATAATTTCTGAACTATTGTTTTTTATTTTTGTCCTAGGGGTAAGTAACAAGAATTAATTTGACTTCCAGTTAGTGTTAGCAAAAGGTGGCATATGAGCACAAAGTAGGTTAGATCTTACTCTTGCGTAGGTTAGATTGATCCCCGCATTAGGTTAGGGCAGGTCTCGAGCAAGGTGCGAGAATATGTATTTTGTTCAATCCTGCCTGAATGTCCTCTTGTGTTGCCAACCGTCGTGACATCTCCATGGCTGTACCATCCTGTCGGATAGCTTATCAGACTGATGTTGACTGTTGGATCTCATGGCAACAACAGTCGGTAGGCTGTCTGACATTTTGGTATCTTTCATCTGACCGTTCGCTCATCCATCTCCAGCTGTTTTCATTGAACATCAATAGCATATAAATGTTTTTAAGTTTAGATGGCAATGAGTTCAGCAGTCATGCAGTGCAGCAATCTACATAAGAAACATCTTTTAAAGCTTCATCTCAGTTGTGTGTGGGGTTTGTAATGTTTCTCCTGTATGCTTCCTGTGTAACTTTAAAGAATGTTACTGAATGACTGGAGAGGCTTTTAGTAGGGACTTCTCTCAGTAGAGCTGCTGACTAGATTAAATTTAAATATCTTAAAGTCTGAGTGCTGGGAGGTGGTACAGGATAGTTAAAAGCACGAAGGCCATTCGTTTGCCCCTGTGGATTTTTAAAAGATGAATGGTATTTCTTAAATCTTGGCCCTAGCAGCTTTTTCACTTTTTGGCCTAAATATTGTCTTTGAAAATAACATAGGAAAGAGCTTGTTCTAATACAATACACGTTTGAAACATCATAGCTCTATTTGATACTTCACTTTTTTCAGTCTACTAAAACTTTAATTTTGCACTTTGTAAGAGATCACGTCAGCAGCTCATAGTTGTGTGTTTCATTTTCCTTCAGGATACTTGGATTAGCGAAACAACTGTTTGCTGCTTTCCCCAGTTTTAGTGGCAGGTTTTTTCCCTCAAATCTGCCATTGAGCTTAGGGACACTGGTATTTACTTTGCACAGTTCTGGTAGTGTCTTAAGGCCTTTCGCGAGAGTAAATTAAATTTATGCCACGTAGAGGCCCCTGTACGCTGTCAGATTGAAATGAGGAGACTGTGCAACAATAAGTAAAAAGAAAGAAAAAACCTCTTCCTAGAGCTTGAGCCAATAAACTGTACCATTCTAAATGCTTTAGCGGTCTCCATATAATTATGCCTCCTTGCCTACTGAAAAATCACTAGACAAATTGAAAGCTTTCTCCCACTTATTTCAATATATGTTTACATACATATAGTGCGAAATATCTCTCTCTCTCTCTATTGTTCTGCAACTCATGTTTGTATGTGTCCATTCCGATAAGCTATGCTGTTACTTTGAAGCTTTCTAACATTATTTAAAGAAGGGACTGGTCATTCTACGTGCTTCTACCTGTTCGGCCACTGGGAGATAATGACTTGGTAAAAGGTAAAATATAATAGAAATGAAAGTTATGCAAACCAAATGAGATTTGCAAATGGGTAGTTTTATATTTGCTTAAATAAATAAACAAATAACTGTTTCCCAGTGTTTATTTCAGTTGGATTGTTTCCGTTTCTGTATATTGAGCTTGGTTGTTGGGCTGTGAAATTTGTTGTCTGAAGCATTCTACAATGAGTGTGAATCTAGAAGATATATCTGCAGTTGCATTTTGTGGCTTCAAAGAAGGGCCCAGAGCCTTTAGCATTTCATCTGAAAACATGTATTTTGCTCCCTTAACCCAAAGTTTCTTTTTGTTGTACATACTTTCAGTCACACATTGGAAGCAGTCAATCATCTAGTTTAAAGAGTGTTAGAGAAAAATCCAAAGGGAGCTCTGTTGCAAGAGAAACAATCTTAGCATCGATCACTGTATTTTTAGCTGATTCTTCGAATAAAGTATCTTGCTTTTTTTCTTGGAATTACTAAAAATCACACGGAAGTAAGTAACAGCCCTCGTAACAACAATTAATGTTTGGTTAAACATCAAAGATGACTTTGAGCTGATACAGATTTTTTAGTCTCATCACCTGTGGAACATGGCTAAATCTGCTCTCACAAGCACACTGTAAATAGGAAGCAAAGCAGAAAGTTGGCCGTATCGCCAGCCTAACAATTCAGAGAAGCGCCTCAGAGCTGAGGTCAGGCAGGACTGCAGCTGATCCTCCTCTTAATTCTCTACTTGCTTACTGCCTGACCTGTGAATTGTCCTCACCAACAAAGTACTTTGAAGGCCGTGTGAGATGTAAGCACGCTGGCATGCCCCTCTCCCTGGCAGCCACGACGTTACCCGATCAGGGCAAGAATTATGTTGATGTAAGCAAAGCTAAAAAGGTCACGCTGATCTGTGCCAGGCCGAGCCAAGAGACCGGCACAGGCCATGTCAGATCGAATCACCCAGTTCCACACTTCTCTCAGCCCCGTCAAAACCATCGGGGAAACCTCCTGCTCCCTGTCTCTGTAGTTTCTTACCTCCATCTCAATGTCACATTGAGTTTCTTCTTAAAGCAGCTCCCTCTGAAATCACCCAGCTGCCTGTTCATGCTAAAAGATACTTGTCATTAATACTTGAAGATGGCTTAATGCTGTTCCAGAAAGTCCTCCCCTGCTGTGCTTTTGGGTTTCATTATTTAATTTGTTAGAATCAGCTTCCCTCTCACTGCAGGCAGTGCTAATTGCAAGCAACAAATACCTGGTTATCAAGCACAAATATAAATATTAGTGAACAAAATTGATTGCAGGTGTAAAAATAAGTGGTGATTGGGCATGTTCCTTGGAGGTAAAAGTAATTAAGTTTTCTTTGAAGCACGTGGTTAAAAAATACTTTGTAATCAGCAGTTAAATGGTTGAATGTAATTATATGTAAGGTAATTGAAAGTGCTCTTCTGAGATACAAAATTCTAGGGTTTTTTTCTATAAATCTGTATTTTTTATTTTCTTGAGGGGAAGAAGAAAAAACAGTAGGTACTTTGCCCAGCTTTCTCCAGATTGCAGCACTAAGTGGAGTGTGAAAGTGGGAGAGCAATAGCCAGGGAGGGCTTCCAGCTGGGCTGTCCCCCCTTGCTGAGAGCAGGCTGGTCCAGGTGAGGGTTTAATTGCTGTAACCTCTTCAGGAAACTGGAGTGAAGCAATCACCTTCCCTGTGAAACACCCTGCTAACGCATTCAGAACTAGACTGAGGGTAAATATTTGCATAAGCTCTTACAAACTCATTTTTAAAAGGATTATACTGAAAAACTCTTGGAGCCTGCTGTGACTTTCCTAATTTAAGTGTCAAATTGAGGGCATGAAATGCTAGCGTTTCTTTATCCGTTTCACTTGCTTATTGATGCATCCACTCAGCTGTCATAAAAGGCAGCAAAACACTGTTTTGGTGGTGGCGGCGTGAATGGGAGAGGCTGTAACAACCTGGGTCAGTTGTCAAAAGAGTGAAAGGAGCTCAAATGCAGAAACTGTCATCAAATGTCCAAAAGATGTCTGGCTATATCGCCTTCCAGGTAAAAGCAAATGGGAAGAGCCCAGCAATCTGCAACGGGCTTCTTGGCATGTGTCAGGAATTTGGCAAAATGGTATTTTGGTCAAAAAAGCTGACTATTACTCTGTGCTGAATTTCCAGTGAAGAGGCTGTTGAGCTGTGAAGTCATTCAGCCTATTCACTGCTAGCGATGTTCAGTTGTGGTAAAACAAATGTGAACCTATTAAATGGGCCAAGCTTTGTTTTACTTTGCCTTTAACACTGCCCTTTATTGTGCTAGAGGTTGCTTTTTTTATTATTATTCACTCATGGAATGATTCAAAGAGCATTGACTCCATTAGCATTAAACCAAAGGTCATCTTTCTTTAAACCTCATTTGACGAGCTGTTCAGATATGGATAAGTAAGCGTGCTGCATCTTCTGTGTTTCAAGGGAGTTACTCCCAGCTTCATTGTTCTTCCCATTTCCCAAGAAGCTTAAATGAGTTGCCCAGGCAGCTGGTAATAAGGAAACTAGCTGCTATTTCCTGATGAAAGGCAAGAGATGGGACTTGTCAGCTCAGTGTATTGTTCCCTGCTCCGATAACTGCCCTGCGAGCCACACCCTTCTCCCATGGCCTCAGAAACTGCTTTTCTGTCCTTGTAAAAAGTGCGAGTTGGTGTCTGTTCCCTGGTGACTGCTGCGCTGTTCCCGCTTGAGGGGTCCTGCGAGGGAAGGGCTGTGTGTTTAGTACATGTGATTTAAGGCATCATCCACCGGTTTTGGTTTTGTTGGTTTTGTTTGTTTGGGTTTTTTTAATGCTAATGTGACAGAGCAGGCCACACAGGTCTGGTTCTGCCTCCTCATGAGAGGTGGCTGGAACTTTTTGTTTCCTTGTGGCCTTGGTAGCGTGTCATTTACCTGCTTTTTGGTACATGGAGTATTACACTTATCTCAAAGGTATCTCAGATCTGGGCAAGTTCTGTGAACTACACCAAAGCGTTTGTTAGCCTGGTTTTACCCAAGATTGTGACCACAGTTATGATTGATGACATCAGTTTGTAGGTTGTTACCTATTACCTTACTTGGGTGCCAGCTGATCTGCATGACATTTCTAAGGTCTAAAGCCTTTTCACTGGAAGGTGGCATGGATTTGGCGGAAGATGTCAGCCAGAGCTCTAAGCTACTTGAGCACAGGCACCACCAGTGCCCGGTGTGCCTGGGGAGGTTAAACTCTGCCTCGAACCATGTGACAAAGTATAAGAAATTCTTTAAGAGATTAGATGCATTTCTCTAAGCTTGTTCTATCTGCATGCAGTGACCTTGTGGTACCTCTATTTTCCTTCCATATTGTCAGGGAAGAAACTGGGAGTTCTCTTGCAGAAGCTGCTGCTAACTAAACCACATAAATACTTCGTTCAAGGCTCACACTTACGTGTCGAAACCGTGTGAGTTTTAATGGACTGTGTGTCTTTCCTGAGACGGAATGTTTCTTAGGCTCTTTCCATCTGTTGAAAAGGCTTGAAAAAAGCAGGTTTGTGCGCTTAGCGTTTCTTTTCTGTCTCTGAAAGAAACTGGACCTGCATAAAGAGAAAATACACGTTTAGATTTACAAGATCGTACAAATCTAGCCATGTTCACAAAATCTCCCTGGTCTATTTAGGAACTTCTCTCAGTGCCTCGTTTGCTGCAGCTGTTTTCTTGAGAGCTGTAATATTTAGGATATTTTTCATAAAACCAGATTTAATTTCTCCGATTTCTTGAGTCTTACGTCTCACCTCAGTCCAGCTGACCTCTCGTGACATACAGTCATGCGCATCCACGTGTGTTGCGTAAGAAGACTCTAGGTGGGGAGCAGCAAGGAAGAGAGAAACTTTTAAGGTGGCTGAAGCCAGTATTTAGTTAAGCTCAAAGTAATGGATGTCAAAAAAAATTTCAAAGCAGTATTTCTACTAGACCTGTGCTAATGCGATTGGTGATTTTAATTCTGTTGCCTCCCTTAACTTCTATATAAACCTGTTTTAAACACTGCTGCTACTTACGCGCAACCACCATGTGGCAAATCACACTGCAGCATTTGTGCATGAACTAAAATTGGTACAGTTACGCACAAGGAGCCTGGTGTTTCTAAGTGAAGTGTGGAAATCTGCTGTGCTATCCTTTGGCAACAGATTTCCGCTGTGACTGAGAGAGGATCATTCCAATTAAGTGAATAAGGAAAGTGTTTTAAGTGTTGTTTGGCAGACCCGATCCTGAGAGTCCTAGCTTAAAACTGTCACTGATGTCTCTCCTCTCAGTCCTCCTTGTAGCCCTGTCTGCCCTTGGTGCTTAACGATTTTTGGACAAGTTCAGGCCCGCTGACTGGAGTTTTGTTCAGCTTGAACAGGACCCCACGTGTACTAAAGCAAGTTCAGGTTTCCTTTATGTCATTGAAGAATAAGCTCCCCTTTCACAGCACACGTTAGGTTTGTATCTATTTTTTATGTAAGAATACTTCACTGTGAAAATACTGCTTTTGTGGAGAAGCCCGACTAAACTTTTATAGAGGAAAATAATGTGAAAACCCAAGTTAATGTCTGGTAGGGAGGGAACAGAAGCTTTCTTCTTGGGAGAAGAGTATTTAATTGGATTTTTGTTCATCAGTTGCCAAATTTATGTTTTTAACTGTTTTATCAGTTGCGTTAGGTTTCTTCACCAAAAATTCGGCCTAGGAAGGAGAAATTGCTAATTTACAATGTCCAGTAACTACATAAATACAGTTGCTGACCAGATGACTCAGAATCAGGTAGTAATACAGGCTGAAGTTGCCCAAAGTGGGGTGGGGAGGAAGTTTCCCAGTGTTTTCTTTGCAAGTGGCAGGAATGCATGACAGCCAGCAGCAAGCAGTCTTCCATGGAAATATATGTATTCTAACTCCGTATTGTTCTGAGCCATCTGGAGAGCAGTAGCTCTGAACTATTGCCCAGCTCTCTCAATCCATGGAAATATGTATTCTTGAACTCCGTATTGTTCTGAGCCATCTGGAGAGCAGTAGCTCTGAACTATTGCCCAGCTCTCACCATACTTATTGAGGATATTATAAAGAACAGCTACAGCTGCCCTTGCCAGCCAAGTACAGAGTCAGTATTTTATTACACCTTCAGTGTGTGGGATAAGGCTGCTTTCCGTTTGGCTCCTTTGGCGGTGTTCTGCTTACATGCTCCTGTAAATGATCTATTACATATTGGAGACTGCTGGGCAAAAGTTCAAATTAAATCATGCCATCTGACCACAATTACACTATTCTCAGGCAACTGAAGTGTATTTTTGTGAGCCTTTAAATAAACATTACGTTGTACATGTAACCAAATATGTACAATAATAGTTTAAATGCAAATATACCATATAAGATGGTATTTATTTCTCATCACATATAACCAGTGAAACAAAAGCTCATAGCTCACTGAAGCTCAAGCAATGTTTATTCTGTCTTTTTTTTTTTATTAACCAGTGGCTTATTTTAGTTAGTTTACTTACTGCTCTTACTTTTAAAATAGGAATCTTGGCCTAGAGAGCATCCTCGTTTTACTTATTTTTCTGTCTTATGGTGTAACATTCCATATTTTAAAAATTTTGCTTTTAAGGCTAACAGACAAGGTTTCTGCAACCTGATTCACACAGATAAGCACAGAGGCCTGTGCCTTTGTTTTATACCACTAGACTCTTAGAAGTCACTGTTTAGAATCTCTCAGGCTTGTATGAACCACGGGGTTAAGGTTTAGACTTCTTCCATGATCTTTATCGTGGAACATATTTACACCTCCAAAAATCGCCTTTAAACTTCCTATTTCCTAATGGGCAGAAGCAGCCTCTCTAATCTCTTGTCTCAAGCTGTCTTCACCTTTGCCGGTGTGCTCCCTATGGCTGGCAATAACATTTGTCTGAAACGCCACCCTCTTTGCAGCTGTCCGTGCCTCTGGGAAAGGGTTAAGCAGGTTCTGCTGATTCACTGAGGTAGGTGACTCATTACCCCACCCGGATAGAGGGGAAGTGGCTGTCTAGAGGGAGAGGATTCATACCATGTGAAATCAGAAGGGGACCATTGTGAACTTCGAGTTTGACTGAAAGAGCCGGAAAGGCTCTATAGTTAAAATTCAGGATTATCAGCTCTACATCCAGGCGAGTGAAAAGCTGTCTGAGCGTCCAGGCTGTGCTTCTGGAGCGTGGGCAGAGGTGGGGTAGGAAGCCCTGAGGCAGGAGGCTTGAGGAGGAAGCCTACACTGGAATTTGCTGCCTTGGTAAAGCTGTGTCTGGGCTGCCCTTGAAAGCAGTGGAGGAAAGGCAGCAGCTCAGTTCCTTTTGGAAGTTTTTTTGTACCATATCAGATCCATGAATCACATTCCTGATGACTCTTGTACAGTTTTTAAAGTGGTGTCCAGCAAAACGCAGACTTCTTTAAAGTACATTTTGACATCTGAGAATATTTCCTTTTGGATGTTTGGTCCCTCATTTCATAATATTTATCTATACTAAATTTATTAACAAATGCAGAAGGAAATGAATTATTCATTCAATATCCTTTTGTACCTTAATGTTTCCCAGTGGAGTATCAGCTGGTAATTTGAATATACCTTCTTTCTGACAAAATCCTGGTTGTTGTGGAAACCACAGATTTTTGCCCTTAATCTTGAGCTGTTTCAGTTTGGTACATCTGTGCAGGTAATCCTCTTGAAAACCCCTTATATATTTACACTAAGATTCTACCCTTTCTGTACTGGTAGTCAGTCTAACCTTATAAGCACCAATATATACTTAAGTCCAAACAAATTTTATCTGTAAGTACACCAGTGCCCTGTCACTTGCCAAACAGTTGTTGTGTTTAAAGTATTTGTAACAGATTGATTTTTGTTCCTGTTTTTTTTGTGGCCAGATAAAAATTATCCTATTCATTAAATATATCTGCTATAGTTGGAGTCCTTGAATCAACTTCCAAGTGAGCTGCACCTGTCCATTACAAAAAACAATAGTGAGATTTGACGCATTGTTCCTTGGTTTATGGACATCCTGTGGGTAGTTTGCCTAAAGCTAGCTAGGTCAAGGCCACTGATTCTGTTGTGCCTGCCTCAGTGAGCCATTGGCTTGTGCTGACCTTTGATCTACGTCATTAATTTTAATTTCTAATGAAATAAAGGCCCTCTTCCAGGCTCCAACTATTTATGTAATTAATTTTATCAATAAAATAGAAAATGACTACTCCACCTTCTAATGTAATTGTAGATGATGAATATTTGATAATAGCTATTCACTTCCTGTCACTTTGACCCTCTCCACATCCTGGGCGAAAAAATGGAGGAATCCAGCCACAGATCAAAAAATGAAGCCTAATTTGGGAAAGGGTGTGAGAATTTCAGAGCTGCGGTCAGCAGTGAGAAGCACTAACAGGAAGAAGGCTAGAGAGGCTAAAACAATTCCTGTCAATCTCTTTTCCAGAGCAATGAAAGGGATTATAACGGCTAATACAACAGTTACACTTTTGTTTTTGCCTCCTTTTTTTTTTTGTAGTTTTGAGGAATCTGTGTTGTCAAAATTTGGCTGATGGTTGTGATCCTCTATTGCTGCTTTGAAAAAATCTGTTCTCCCATGGAAGTAGGAGTATTTTCCCTGAATCCTAACTGTGAACAAGTTCTTACAGAAGTATCCTTGTTAAGCATAATGAGCCTGTTGGCCTAGCTCTGTCTTTGCGCTGCAGAATCTTTCCTCTGTGTTTTCATATGTTACAACTAGAGATTAAATAAGGAAATTTTTATTTTTGCTTTGGGGTTATACATGTTAGCTGTGTGCTGCGTTTCCTGATGTGGCCCAAATTCTGCCATCAAACATAAACAAACAAACAAACCCCCCAAATACCCTGCCCCATTAACTAAAGGTGACATAAGCCATAAATAATAAATGTACTTATAAAGAGTGGACAAATGGGTCTACGTCATTCATAGGTGCAATAAGCACCTGCTGTATTTGCTTCATGCACAGAATTATAAATGCAGAGATAATGTAAGGTTATGTCTGCAATAAAGTTACTTATTGATGTAGCAGTACAATAACCCATTGCTCCCTTCCTTGTTTCTGAGAGGACTTCTCTGTCCTTAGCTTTTTAAAAATTCTCTTTTACCTGTCCCGTGGAACAATGAGGAAGAGTATGCATTCCTGGGACTTGGTCATTTTTCCAGACATGGAGTTACCTATCCTCATTTCTGATACTGGAAGAAGTTCTCAGCCTGATATCTGTTGAAAACACTAGGGAAAATTATTTCTATGTTGCTAAACATCCTGTGCCTTTTGGAGGAGGGAGAACCTCACCATACTGTCTCCTTTCCTGACCCTTTGTTCCGTACAAACTTGAACTGCCTGTGCTGTTTATCTTAACTTCTTGTACAATCTTTCCTCCAGTTTCTTCTGTGAAAATACCCAAGTTAAAGACAATGGTTGAAACTGACAAAAACACAACCCTAGAAAAGCCCTTTTGATCAGAACAGTCCCCCAGCTCTGAGCTGCCAGGAAGTGATTTAGTGAAGAAAATATTAAATATCACAAATAATATTTTATAACAAAGGTTCTATGTAGTTTTGAACTTCCAAACAAATTTTACTGAGCAGCATAGGGCTTGAAGTATGGCTGGATAGTTGAACTATGATTATTGTGTCTTCCCCTTTTGAGAGGGAGTTCCTAAAACAGGAATTAGAGCAGCTGAGTGAAAACAGAAAGCAAACCAGGCTGAGTTGTTGGATTATGTACTGTGGTCTGCAAGAAGAATATTGTCAAAATGTTCCGTCATAAATGTCAAGTGTCTTTTTATATGAAAAGTTACTTGGTATATTTACCCTATCTGCTTTCTCCTCTTTGCCTTCCCTCTCATGTTCTCCCCACCCGCCCCACGAATGATTCTCATTCCCCTGTATATTTAATGATTTAGCTGTTGAATTGAAGCACCAGTGTAGCTCTTAATTTACACAGGTAATTCTTCTGCATGAACTAGGACTAGACTCGACTCTAATGTGTGCTGACAGTTGCCCTACTACTAACAGGCAGTTGAAACGTTTTTTTTTTTTTTGAAAGCATGAGAGATTAACATTGCTTGTCTATAAGCTACTGTGAAATTTATCAGAATCCACTGTGGCTTGCACTGACACAACCATGCCAGCGATCAGCTGTTACTATGGGCGTATTTGAACAGTTGTGAACTTAGCCCCAGTACTTACTTGCTTCAGATTCAATCGTACAGTTACTTGAACCTCGTCAAGAAGTCTCTTTGCCATTCCAGGTGTCGTGCGCCACAGCTGGTTTGAGAACAGGTGCTCGGGGGCGGATTTTGGTGCTTCTGTACCTGGCCTGAACAAAAGCGAAGAGGTAAATGAAACCAGGAAAAGAAATAAAGATAAGAGTAATACAGAGTGTCTGCTGTGCTCTAACTGAAGCCTAGCAGAATTACAAGGTCACTTCTGCATCTAGCACTGTGTTAATTCATTAAAGATTTAAAATCTAAATCAGAATCACTAACAGGGCAAGATTTCTATGTGGGCATCGTTAGCCATATTGCAAATGTCTTTAACGTATTTAGCAACATGCTATGTGTGCGCTCATCTTTTAGTTAAAAACTCAGAAGCCTGGCACAAAGCAGCACTAAAACCTAAAGGGAAACAATGAGATTTGTCCACTTGTCAAGGGAAAAGTCCTTGAGACTGATTTTTAAGTTTTTATTCTTGGCATACCTTTTTAATATTTAATTATTTCCATAGAACAGGGTGACATCGGGGGGGGGGAGGAATGGCAAGAATTCCAAAAGCTCTCCCTACCATTCAGTGAAAAGCTCACAGAGGCAGAAGAAAGCTCAGTGGTACAACATAATCCTGTACTCTTTTACAAGCATCCAGTCTGTGCCCCCCCAGGCTCTTGCAATCTCTTCCTCCTGTCAGGCTGGCGGAGCCGAGTGTGTGTTTGCAGGCTGCAGCTTCACAGGGGCACCACCTTGTGGTCCTGGTCAAATTTGTGCAAAAAAGAGCCCATTTCTTAAATCGACTTGGGAAATTACACAATCTATTTATTATATTATATTACAGGCTCTTACATCTGATATCTACCAGCAACTCTCCTCCCAAATCTGTTTAAATAAGTAATAAATTAATTAAAAAAACCCTACCTGCTTCTAACTTAAAGGAAGAGGAGCAAGAGTTGTAGTTTTGCCTAAACCTATGGTTCGCCTGTAACAAATAGCCAAGACCTCTGATGTGCTATGGAGATTTTTTGTTTTCCAATTGGTAGGTAACACCACTTGAAAACATGGCACAGTGAAATGGCCAGAAAAGCATATAATTAATTGTAATCTCTAACATAACTTGAGGATGACAGGAAAATGAAGAACCCTTCACACCTTTTTTAAAAGATGGTTCAAAACTTCCGCTATTTTGTCAAGGTTAAGGTCCTTAAAATAGAATTTAGGTCTTACTTTGCTTTAAAGGAATACACGGCAGACTATTGTCTCAAATGATACCCAAATGGAGTTTGGATTAATAAATCTGATACTGCATTTTATAACTTGAGGATGACAGGAAAATGAAGAACCCTTCACACCTTTTTTAAAAGATGGTTCAAAACTTCCGCTATTTTGTCAAGGTTAAGGTCCTTAAAATAGAATTTAGGTCTTACTTTGCTTTAAAGGAATACACGGCAGACTATTGTCTCAAATGATACCCAAATGGAGTTTGGATTAATAAATCTGATACTGCATTTTTATATATTGAAGCATTCTAGGGCAAAGTGTTATCATGAAAAATTGAAATTGGAGGATCAGGAATGCCTTACTACTGTAGTCAAGCACCCATTTAATTTTTATCACACATTAGTTCATGACAGTTTAGATGCTGAGAGTTTAGCCTGGAGAAAAATCCTTCTGTATGGATATTTTTCATAAAGAATGTCGAAGTGCCAAAAATGATGTTCAAAGACTTAGCTACAGCACATAGCAAATGTATTGAAAAATAGCTATTTATTAGATATATTAAATATGAATAATACCTGCCCATATGAATATATTCAGTTTTGAATCAGTTCTTACTATTCTAACACACACACACACACTGCTTACAAGACTGAAAAATAGCTACAGTCCAGTAATTTATATAGTTCAGGAAGTTGATGGAAGGTTTTCTAGCGCTGGGTTCTTTCAGGAAGGCTCTATTTCAGACGATTTAAAAAAAAAATCAAAGGATGGTGTAACTGGAGATAACTTGTTCCAGAGCTGTGAAGCTGTCCAGGAAATCTTCCTCTTCGATTCCGAATTTAGTGTACTGGTGAATATAGGCTCTGTGTGTTGAAGTCACAGTAGGAAAATGGAAAAGACATTAGAAATCAGTGAAGAATCTGACACATGAAATCAGATCGTACAGTCATTGTAAAAACTTCAAATTGAGACTGGTTTCCACCCAATCACCATGGTGGTTAGTTTTGACTGTGCTCTCTTGAACTCATTTTGTAATTCATACTTATTGATAAGTCATTACTTGTTTCTAATAGCTTTTATAACTTTTTGTACTGCTTAAGGAAACAAAATTGCAGCTAACGTAATTGGGCTAACCGGGATATGGAAGGAAAAGTGATTATTAAATGAGAAAATTTATACATTTGAGATGCAAAGCCTAAACCTGGGTGTGCATGATAGCTTGCTTCTCAACACTGGTGTTTTTGTAACAGGTGGTAAAACTAGGAGCCCAGCTAGTGACAGCAGTTTTCCTCTTTTGGCTTTTAATTGCAGAATTCCTGTGCTAGAAACTCACGTTTAGCAGACATCTGCTGTGACATGCAGTAACCTTGGCTTCACAGTGTTCAAAGTAGAGGCAATTATTTTCTAGATTTCTTGGTTCTAATGAAAAATCAAACTAATAGCATGGGAGCCTTAGTAAACACACAAATCCCCTAAATGCTTCTGAACTGAGCCAGGAACTTTTTTCCTGGACTGTGCAGCACGTATGTACACACTTTAGAAACTATATGATCAGTAAAAGAGTTTCTATGTGTTATTTTTAGAATGGTCACATTGGAACGCACTAAATTTGGGGAGTTTTAGAAAATAGTCAAATTGACAGCACTAGAATATGTGTTCTCACTTATCCACAGAACATATGCACTGTTCTGTGTTCCTCGCCCTGCCATCATGTTTCAAGCATAAAAATGTTTCCACTAAAGCGTGGGAAGAGTCTTCAAGTTTATTCATCATTACTTTACCTTGCTGAAAGAGCGAGCTGTATTTACAATGATTTTGCTAACACTGAAGATATCGGCAGTTATAAATGAAGTATCAGCATAATTATTTTCACTTACTTGGAAGCAAACATATTCCAAGCTTTTCCTACAACATTGTCAAGAGGTTTCAGCAGGAACTGGCTATTGCTGACCAAAGCAGCTGACTTTTCGTACTTGTTAAATGCTCTTGGTGTTTTCCACGCATTAAAAGCATCCTGAGGGTTTAGCCATGACGTATATAATGAGGGATCTCGGAAACTTCCTGTAGCAGAAATAAGACAGCCCTTTTGATAAATGTAAAGCTACAAGCGCCTACATCTTGATCTCAGTAGTCCTGTGTGACCTAATCAATGCTTGGCAGATCAATTCAGGCCTTGAAAAAAATCTGCAGAGTGGTCAGCCTGTTGAAAATATAACTGTTTTAAACAGATTCATCAGATTATTTAGAAGCATGCTCTTGTATTGGTACTTCATCTGCAAGCTATGCTCATCGCTCCAGAAGCAGCTAAATATATTTTCAGACAATATAGCCAAGAATCCTATCATATATACGGACTTCAGTCTCTTCCTCCTTCCCTGAAATGCTTCGGGAAACACAGACGTCTCGGTTGTAAACACAACAGCCCTAAGCAATTAGACAACGTGGCCGTGACATTAAGATGTTTCTAGAGGGAATATTGACCTTAGTAGTCAAATACGTGGCCTTGGGTTTTTTTCACTTTCATCAGACATGGTCGCAAAGAAAACAGTGAGATGTGAAACAAGAATCACTGAGGTACTGTGTTTTTCCTTCTTACCTAAGTCTATGTTGTGCATATCTTTTCCTCGCAGGATAACCAGGTTGGCAATGGAAGTATTGAAATGCAGCGGCTTGTTTGTGGAATGACTGGAGGGGATGGAAGAGCCTAGCTGCGGTGGTCGTACTTGCCAATCAATACCTATGAGATTTTGGCAAAAAAGATATAAAAGGAAGTTAATGTTTCATGAAATATGGATTCAGACTAGCAGATGGTAACTAACACTGTGCCAAGCTGAGATCATATTAGAGTTTGTAGCTTCCGCACATTAGTTAAGCAGCAATTACACAATTCTTAGAGAAAACCAGTGCTAATCCAGCAGTATTTGCGTGGTAGTCACTAGTCTTACCAGAGAAAATGGATACTTGTTTCTATACTTAGCAATCTGCCAGCCCATTCTTTGCATAACTGGAAGCTATACTGAATTCCCCATGTAAATGATATGGGAGAGCTAAGCATGATTTTTATTAGTAGAAGGTGTAGAAAGAAAAAGCATAGCAGACCTAACTATCCAAGGAATGTTCCAAATGAATCATGTAAATTAAGTGCATGGCCAAAAACTGTTTGTTTTGTGTATTTTCAATAGTTATAATTAACCGAGATGTCTGGGAGCAAAAACAGGAGCAAGCCAGGAGCTGCTGTGGCAGCTGAGTGAATAGTTAAAGGAGCAGCTGGCTATGTAGAGGCAAATTCCTGCTGTCTGAGGGCAGCAGCTCATTTCTGAACTGACTAAAGCTAGTCAATGAGCTCCACAAAACAGTAAGCTTTATTTCATCTGTAAAAAGAAATGCTTAAAGAGTGATGGATACTGAAGATAAGTGAATGCTTTTTACCTTCCTCCATTTTAGCATTAGCAATGAGCATCTGCCTTAAATGTTTGATGAGTCCAGGCCAACTGAATGTGCTATAAGGGAGGGAATTTTCAGGCATCTGAGGTATGTTGCGAAGACCCAACATCTTGAATTCGGGATGTGGAACTAACGTCTCCATTAAGTCTCCTGAAAGAAGAAATTAACAGCTGCTCATGTTTGACAAAAATATTGCATAGGCTAGCTAAAATAGGAGAAGAGAGTGAGGAATTTTACAAAGATCTAGCAATTTAAGGTAAGAAACAAAGCAGGATATATAAAGTTTTAATTTGACAAATATATGGACACACATCAGACAAAGTAATGCAAACTGGCTACGTACTACTGAGTTCTATACAAGCATGTTAGTAGCTCTTATTTTACAATTTAGACTTGTCTTGCTTTATAGTCTGGCTCAAAATCTCAAAAGACCATATGCACTGCTAAAGAGACTGACAGACAGATGTGAAAGTTTAATTTTACAAGCAAAACTCTTGGCAATATGGGTAACTTTCTCTAGTCCCTTAAAGATAGAAATGTCAGCCTGTTGCTACCAAGTTGTATGCTAGCCTGTCTTCTGCCTGAGTAAAACACAAAACTTTAATTTTGTTTCAGTTTATACAAACTTCTAACCTAATGTGAAATGTAAAACTCAGTCCAAAATTACTGTCCTGCACAAGTTTCCTCTGAAATGTAAATAGGTACAAGGGTGTCTGTAATCACTTGAAAAATGAGAAACAGGGTTCTTTTGGTAAAGAATGAAACAAGAAGCTGGGGTTCTATTTTTGACTCTGCTACAAAATTGGGACTGAACTTCTAATTTAGTCTTTTGCTTCACTTTTCCTATCTTAAAACTTGGGATGTATGCGAATACTTGAGTAAGGAGACCGAAGAACTTAAATTCACAACATGAAACCATTACAGAAATAAGTGTGAGAATGCATTAGGCAGCTATATCATGGTTAGATACCTAATGGGTTTCTGCTATAGTGTAAGCCACCTTCTGCTGTGTAAGTGGGCTGGAAAACACTCCCCAGCTGATGTGCAATGACTTGATTTACATCCCTGAAGGAGATCTGTTTAATTTTCATCAGCTGAGCACAGATCTTGTGGATGACATCATTTTCATGAACAAGAAGGGCATCTGATGACTGGTACAGATGTGACAGAGTCAAAAGAGAGTTGTAGTTTTGAACAATGACCTGGAAACAAACAAACAATACACACCAATGAGAGTCAAACAACTTAATCGCTTTCCAGTTTATAATCCTCTGGCTACTGTCATTTCCTCAGTTATGATTTCAGAAGTGATTCATTTTCTTTGCCAAAGTGCAGAATGAGGTCAGCAGCTAGCAGAGCTTTTTCATGGAAAGAAAGCAAGACCTGTGAAAATCATGTTATCCTTCTCAGTTCATACAAACGTGCTAGAATAAAATCTGTCTGGGAACTGATTATAATGCTGAGATACTATCGTAACAGGAGATTTCTAGTTAGCTAATAGAGCTTCTCATGAAACTGTATTATACTTTAGCACTTACATTATCAAGAACTTTATTTTATTGTGAAACGACATGTACCAAATATTAGCCAAACAATTCATTAGCTGTGTTACTTTCAGTCACGTTGAACTTTTTAAAAGTAAAATGTATCTCTTTTCTAGTTTATTTCAGCTGCAAGTATTTTATGTTTAAAAGTAAACAGCGATTATAAACTTGTAGAATATGACATTCACCTCACCAGTGCCATAAGGCCAGATAACATGGTTTAGTATAAATGAGGTTGGAAAAGCATCTCTTAAACACTGGGTCACAAATGCTCCCAAGCCAGATCCTGTACCACCAGCCATGCTCATTATTGTGAAAAATCCACCGAGTCGATCGCATTTCTCTGCTTCTTTTTGTACCAGATTCATTATTGCTTCTTTGATTTCTAGTAATAGAGCTTCTCATGAAACTGTATTATACTTTAGCACTTACATTATCAAGAACTTTATTTTATTGTGAAACGACATGTACCAAATATTAGCCAAACAATTCATTAGCTGTGTTACTTTCAGTCACGTTGAACTTTTTAAAAGTAAAATGTATCTCTTTTCTAGTTTATTTCAGCTGCAAGTATTTTATGTTTAAAAGTAAACAGCGATTATAAACTTGTAGAATATGACATTCACCTCACCAGTGCCATAAGGCCAGATAACATGGTTTAGTATAAATGAGGTTGGAAAAGCATCTCTTAAACACTGGGTCACAAATGCTCCCAAGCCAGATCCTGTACCACCAGCCATGCTCATTATTGTGAAAAATCCACCGAGTCGATCGCATTTCTCTGCTTCTTTTTGTACCAGATTCATTATTGCTTCTTTGTGTCTAGGCCCGTGAACAGAGTAACTGTTGAATAAAAGACAAAACAGCGAGACGTGGCAGGTTGTATCAAAATAAAAGCAGTAAGGTGAAGCTATTCATCAAGGATACTTTTCTTATTATTATTTATATAACCTGGCATTATGTCACCCATTCCATCTGCAGTAAACTATCCTCAGCTGTGACATTTTGCAAAACAGCTGTTTATAAAGTGTGCTTATTGTTTCCTATTCTTAAATCAAATATATTCACTCTATTCTAAAACGTTACATTTTCACTGTAAATAACCAATTTCACTTTGAAAAAAGCAGTTTAGAAATTTAGCTGCTATATATATATTGCTGTTCTAACTTAAAAATAAATCAAGTTAATGTTACATGCTCTGCACTTCACGCAGCTGCAACAGTACCACTCTTAGAGAGTCTAGACAGCTCATTAGCCTCTATAGTTCCCTTAGCGAAGCTTGAAACAGTTGTTCATACCCATTTGCCCAGTTGTTCCCAGACCCTTGCTTCTGACAGAAGTGCGACCGATCATCGTATTTCCAGCAGCCAGACCTGGCAGCTATTGATAAGGTTTGGCTGATTACTTTAGGTTCCATGTCAACAAGCACAGCCCGGGCAACAGGTACTGGATAGGAAGAAAACCAAAACTAAGAATAATGTGCCAATATTAGGACTCGTTTATGTAAGATGAACAGACTTGCACCATGGCCCGAATTGTATTCCTCCCACCCACATAAACTGCACTATTAATGGGACAGTACAGACAGGTACAGGAAGGAGGACTTGGCAGTGCCCTGGATTTCTGGAGAACCATCTCTTGTTCCAAAGACAAAGCTGAACTCCAGAGACCATAGGTCTTTCGGGAAAGAAACCACTTAGTGTGTTTGGTAACACCAAATTCAGACACGCTGGGCCCTACTCCATGGTATAATCTATCTACAGTAGAAAATGCGGATGTTTGGAAGGAAAGATTATGTATGCATATATGCTCAGTTTCCAGCTGTGTTACTGGCAGAGTTGCTCTGTGGTCTCAGACACGTTACTGCACTGGTTTTGCTTCCATTGTTGTTCGCAATGTCCTGGAGGCAGAGGGTTGTGACAATTCTTCAAGACTGAAGGTAAAACTCATTCTTCAACTGAAGGTAAAAGACTTTTATTATTTCTGTACTCTTATCTGTATCAGGCTGGAAACCAGACCCTCTGTGGGAAACAAACACTTACATGCTGTACCTTCAGATTCCTCCTCACTGAAAAAGCGTTCTTTGCAAGCATCATGGTAGGATTCATTCTCCTTCTTGGAACACAACCCATGTGTGCCATGGACGTCACTGCAGAGAGCATTGAACACCTCATGACCAATCTGATTACCACACTGGCCAAGCTGGACTGTGACTATTGACATTCTTATTCACTTTGTATTTAAGCCTAAAAAAGAAAAGTATGCCTTTATTAACTGTGGAAAAGAGAAGGGGGGAAAAAGTTCCGACAAGTAGGTATCTGATCAGTTTTGCAATTTTTTGAGAACCTCTGGTGAGAAGGAAAAGGCTATGCTACAACCGCTGGCTATTTCTGGGGAAAAGCAGACTGTCAGCACTTTCTCCTGGACGTTAGAAGAATGCAGATGGCAGTTTACAGGAAATCAGTCTGTTTACTGTTGCTATACATCTGAACGGGCTGAAACCAACCATACAGCAAGCAAAGTCTTTGTTTTCTTACTTTTGCTTAGTAAGGCAGGATAGAAACAAATAATTAGAACTCCAACAAAGTTATAGGATTAGGCTGTAAAAGCATAATAGGCATAATAAGAAAGGACTATATGCCTTTAGAAATGTGAAGCCTGTTCAAAAATCTAGCTGATTTCCAGTCCTGTACTGTGATGGGCCTGATGCCAAAATCTGCTGAGGTGACAAAAGGATTCCCTAGCGTATTCCCCTTGCTTCCACCACAGAAAGCAAAGGTTTTGATTCAGTACCGGTACGTTTTGACATTTTTTCCCCACTCAGCGTTTTGCAGTAGCTCTGGCTTCTCACTTTTCTATTCTCCTTTCACAGAAACAAGGTCAATTTTTTTTTAAAGTCACTTCATTATTCTGGGCTGCTATTTTTCATTATCATCCCAGCTGTGCCGGAGCGCTTCTGTAACAGCATTCTTTGGATAACTGCCAGTGCCTGTAAGTCGATCCTGCTGCATTTTGCAGGCAGGTATGTGCTATTTTTGATTCCCGGTGCTTGATTTCAGCACTGCTGCCAGTCTGCACCTCACAGCCCAAGGCCAGCCTGCCTGTTACAGCAAGGCCGAGTTACCCCTCGCAGCAGAAAATAAATAAATCTGTAAATGATCGTAAAAAAAGGCTCATGTCCAACCCACGCGTGTGAGACCGACCCTCCCGTGCCTACTCCCGTGCGCTCTGCGCATGTCACTCGGAGCCGGCAGCTGTCGCTTGCGCCCTCCTCTGCAGTCACCCGCCCGCGTGGGGAGACCCACCCGGGCTCCGCCGTGCCG